GGAGTGCAGTGGCCGGATCTCGGCTCACTGCAAGCTCCACCTCCCAGGTTCACGCCATTCTCCTGCCTCAGCCTCCCGAGTAGCTGGGACTACAGATGCCCGCCACCTCGCCCGGCTAGTTTTTTGTATTTTTTAGTAGAGACGGGGTTTCACCGTGTTAGCCAGGATGGTCTCGATCTCCTGACCTCGTGATCCGCCCGTCTCGGCCTCCCAAAGTGCTGGGATTACAGGCTTGAGCCACCGCGCCCGGCCCCCTTTTCTTTTTTTAACTAAAGCCAGTTAGACTTCTTCCCCCTTAATTCCAATAAAACTGCTCTTTTCGGTTATCAGTGATGTCCACATCTGTCATTTCTCAATACCTATATGACTTAACATTCAGGAACAGAGTTGATAGCTCACTTTCTCCTCCTTGAAACACCTTCAGTTGGCTTCTGAGGTACTTGTCAAGAACTATGAAGGATCTAAGAGTTTACTGTATTTGTATACTAACAAGTTAGTATGCCACTGTTTCATGTATAATGATAGAAGACACAAGACTTCTGGATCGGAGACAGAAGACAGTTTATTACTCACAGCAGTAACATAACCGGAGTATCAGTATTTTTGTGCTGGTTTCCTGATCTGCAGTTCTCCAAGGGCAGTATGAAGAGGCCAGATGACACCTGCACACACAGTAAGGCTGTGTTATTGGAAAGGAAACTTGATCTTAGGTGGAACCCAGGTATTTTATAATGGGCCATAAGCATGCCTGCTCTTTGTTCCAGAGGGAAACATTATCTTTATTATGCTGTACAGTAACCTGTTGCTCTGGAGGGAGACACTACCAAGTCTTCCAAGGCTATTCAGTATAAAAACATCCTTGAAAGTATAGTCTGGAACTGTCATGTGTCACATCACCGACTATCAAGATAGTGCCTCACTTACAATATTTGCAGAGAGTTACAATATTGAGAGACCGATGGAGAATTGACTCACAGTAATTCTTCCCTCTCTGGCCATTTTTTATCATTCTCCTTTGCTGGTTCTTCTTCAATTCCCCCATACTCTAGATCTACACTGTCTAGTACTGTAGCCACTAGCTACATGTAGTTATTTCAGTTGACTGTATTTCAAGTGCTCAATAGCCATATGTAGGAAGTGGCTGCTATTGCATGGTACAGATATAAAAATATTTCATCATCACAGAAAGTTCCATTGGACAGTGCCACTCTGCATGTTTGAAGTGCCCCATGGCTCAGCCTTTGGATATCTCCTCTTTACTTTCTGTATTCCATCCCTTGGTGATCTCATCTAGTTTCATGACTTTAAAATATGACTCCCAAATTTGTATCCACCCGGATCTGTCCCCTAAACTCCAGGCTTAGTTCTCTAGCAGCCTTCTGGACACCAGTACCTGAACGTCTTAATAGGCATCTTAAAGTTAACATGTCCAAAACTGAACTACAGATCCTCCTTGCAACCACTACTTCCTCTCCCACAAACAAATCTTTTCTTTCTGCAGTCTTTCCAGTCTCAGTTAATGTGAGTTCTCATCTTCAGTTGTTCAAGGATTTAAAAAAAAAAAAAAAAAAAAACAGTTTTTTTAAACTCTTAGATTTATTATTGACCTCCCTCTTTTCTATAAAACCCACTCGTGTATCCCATTGGCTCTACTTTCAAAATATATCCAGAATCTGACCACTTTTCACCCTGCTCCTGCTACCACCTAGTCCAAGCCAGCATCATCATTTGCATGGATTGTTCTAATAGCCCTCCTTCTGGCCTCCCTCTTCTACTCTTGTCCCGTGTAGTCTGTTCTCATCCTAACAGCCAGATGATTTCGTGAAGAACATCAGGTCATGGCATTTCTCTGCTTAAAACTCCTCAGTAGCTTTCCATCTCACTTAGGTAAGAGCAAAGTCTAGTCATACTGGCATTCTCACTCTTGCTAAAACATTCAAGCCATGCTGCCACCTCAGAACCTTTATATCTAGTGTTCATTTTGCTTCCTTTTCCCCTAACCCACTGAAGACACCAGGCCAGTTGTCTTATAGAATGATCCATATCATGAATTTCTCTGCTTCCTCATGGTATTAACTTATTTCTCTATAGCATGTATAGAGAAATTTTTCTGGATTTTGAACATTAGATCTAAAGGATTAATTGATTAAATATTTTTGTTGAGGAAATTCCATCAGTGTTGCTGCAGTCTTCACACTGAATCATTTTGGGAGGCACATATTAAGTGATTGTCCCACCATTAGTGATGCCAGGTTTGTCTGACATGTTAAGGTGGGAATGTTCAGGTCTTTCCATTATATGTTTACATTTTTCCCTTTGTGGTTAACAAATAAGCTGAAGGGTGAACATTATTTTTCTTTTAACGCTGTTATTTTAAGAACTCTTTTTAGCTATAGAACTGCTTTTTCAAATAAAACCTTTTTTGGAGATCCAGTATCTAAAACAGATAAAAGTAGAGCTGTTTTGTTGCAGTAGAAAATGCAGCTTCCGAGGGGACTTTGACAAGCACAGTTTTTAACCCACAGAGCCCACCCAAACACTTGAGAAAGTGGAGACCCAGAGGACACATGAAGTCTTAAAGCCACTTAGCATCTCATGAGAAAGGCTCAGTACATCTTCTATTAGAGCATAGTTTGGGAGCTCTGCCACTTCCTTGGAAAGCTGTGGTTGTGAATGATCATTAGAATGAGACTTGGTTTTTCCCTGGCAGTCCACCCACCGTTTTTAGTTGTCTCAGTGCTTTCTTGACATTCTATCTATCTGTTCTGCAGATGTGAAGATTTGAAATTACTTCATTTATAGTGTGTGTTGGGTTGCAGTCCCTTTTTGTTTCCCTTTTGGAAATTATTCTTCATCCACAAAGAATTCCAGATTCAGACATTATTCATCTATGTCTGGAACACAAAAATCTCCTGAGCTTCCATATGTCTTACCTTCTTTCTACCTTTAAAATAGTCAGAATGCTGCCACAGCTGAAGTCAGTTTTCTCATTTGCTTGTTGCTTGCTTCCTTTCTGTACCTTTCTTACCATACAGCCTAACGTGCCTTACTAGAGAGTTAAATGAGTAAATTTACTGTGCCCATACAATGTCTGTAAGGTGTATACTATAGATTTTTATTTTCAGGGAAAGGAGTTTCTCTATATTAAGTGGAAAAAAACAGGCAATAAACTATAATTTAATCTCACTTTTGTTTAAAAAGTTATATGCACAAAAATCTCCATGACTATATATGTGTATATGTATATTTAAAGCTGAAAAGGATATTTACAAAAATGTTCACATTGATACTACTTCTAGCTGTGATCTTTGCTTTCCTCTTTGTAATTTCTCTGGTATCACTCTCACTTTTGTTTGCAGTGTGTCTAATTTCTGCAGTCATTACTTTTATAAAGATTAGAACTATTGTTTAAAAAGACAAAAATAGTAACTTTGGTTTGTCAGATCCAAACTGCCTTGAAGGCAGGTCCAGGCTCCACCCCAGCTTACTGCCATCCATACCATTCCTTGGGATTCTTATCCCAAATGAGCAGCTTTTCCCTGATACCATTATTCTATTTATTTTACAATAGGTTCTTGGCCATCATCTAGAATCCACTAGGCTCTGAAGTCCCTCTCTGCTCACTTGTATCAAAATGAACTTGTCAGGGAAGGGAAGGAGGATGTAAAAATGGTGTTCTAAAAGGAATTGTCACTAGAATGTGATCTCCATCAGGACCCAGGAGGAGCTCAATAAATATCTCTTAAATGAATTGACTTATTATTTTTTTGTCTCATTTATTTCATCTCACAAATTCTTACAAACAAGCATTGTTTGTTTTCTATAATGCCCTGAACATTTGGAGCACTTATAAATTAATGAATAAAGTCCTTTTAAAAATATATCCATACTCAATAAAAATAAATTTCAGATTTCTTGTTATCTTTAACCAGAATTCGTGCTTGTACAGGAAATTAGAAAGGGACAGGACTTAAAGATAAAAGTGTTATGTTCAGATCCTGCTCATAGTTTTGTGATCATGATTAGTCAACTTAAGCCGCTGAGCTGCCTTCATTTATAGCCTCGCTGATTCTCTTCTAGACTCTTCTGAGGCCTTCTGCCTGGCCTACCTAGCTTCATTTTGTGTCCCCAAGTCTGCCCTCCACAATGCTACAAAGAGTAATACCCCACAGTGCACGTTTGATCTTGTCTCCTCCCCTAACCACAATTTGTAACCTCTCAGAGGCTTTCTAGTGCTGTGTTGCCTTTGCCCCCACTCCTTCAGCTTTGGCTCCTGGAAGCCTGTCTTCAAACTTGACACGCAGATAATACCAAGTTCCTGCTAGGTCCCACACATCCCATGCTGCTTTCTGCTTTGCTCCCTTTTCTCACAGGACATTTTCCCTTCAGCCAACTACACTACTGTATTCCAGGACTGGGTTTGTCAGATCCCCTCTCTGTTGTGTCTTCTTTTGCCTAAAGGTTATGTATCCACTTTCCTGCCCACTCAGACTGTGAGCTGCTTGAGGCAAAACCATAGAGTTCATAGTTCTTTATGTTGAAGGGTACCTGGCCTGTAGTGGGACTCAAATGTTTATTAAACTGTGTTATAAAGTGCATGTGTTCTTCTAAATTGTCTGAATGATTTTTACCTATAGATCATTACCTGATTCTTATATGTTCTCCTCCAAAATAAGAAAAATACTTAGAAAAGGAAATTGTGTGAACTAAAGTAACTTATAATATAGCTAGACAGAGACAAAAACTATTGGTGATATTTTGGAGTATATAATAAAGAATTTTTTAAAATTAGAAAATGGTAAAAGTTTAACCCCAAATATTCCTTTTGGAGATAGTTCTCAGAGAAATCAGTAGCTTTGCAGATTACATGCATTAAAAATTAATAGCCTATTCATCATACTTCCCGCATCAAATAATACAAAATAGTTCTCTGGTAAAATGTAGCCCTTTCCTAATTCAAACCAAGAAAAAACAAATTTTGCTCTTCTCGTGTTCCCTAGATCCCAGAGCCATTTTCATCCTGTTTTTCCTGAAGAAAAGATGAAATCCCTGTGAGGGAAGTGACTTGACCAAGTTACCGAGCTAGTCGGTGCAGAAGCTGAGACCAGGAGCTTCTGACTGCCCACCTGGTGCTTTTTCCCTTCAGCCATATTTCCTGTTTCTCCACTGCGGTAAAAATAAAAGTAAGTTTTTCCTAATTCCCATATGCGGTAAAAATAAAAGTAAGCACTTCCTAGTTCCCATATGTTCAAATCAGGTCCACTGCTAAATGTTTTTATATTACCCTTAGCCTCATTCAGACATTAGCCCTAAACCTAAAGCATTAATTGTTCTTTCATACCCATGTAAACAGTTTCTTTGAGCATCAGAAAATCTTTTCTATAAGAGATGTTTTATTTTCTCAACTATATTAATTTTATTTATTGTATTTTTTAAATTTCTCAACTATTTTTGAAGTGGACACAATAAAATATTCCAGGTCTCCTTTATTATTCCACAAATAGGCCTTACTATATACTTTTGGTATTCTTTTAAACTGTTCTTTGGAAGCAGTTTCCACACTGAGTCATCCACCCAAGATTGCCTATGTTTTCCAGGCAAAGTAATAGTTTTATTATTTCTAAATGACTCATTACTTCTGAATCATTACACCTTGTGTACTCTGTTAAATAAAAAGTTTTCAAGACAGTTTTCTACAGTTTTCTTCTACTCTTAGTCTTCAAGTGATCTACCTAGGTGACATGGACATTCAGTCAATTCTGTCTTTTCTTTATGATTGATGTTGATCATTTCTTCTTGAACCTTTTCATCAGCTGAGATAAGCAGTGGAATTTCTTTACCTCATACTCTGCTCCAGATGTTTCCTGAAGTGGAACAAATAAATAGCAACATAGTATGTGTAACACCATTCAATAATTTACATCATTACACTAATGTTTAAGAATATATTAACTTCCTAAATTTCTCCATGAAATCAGGGAGAGACACCCCAAAAAATGTAACTCTAATGTTTGCAGGGAGATGAATTCAGCTTCAGGCATGGATTTCAATACACATTCAGGAGAAAATATTCCCCATGTAGTTAAATATACTTGGCAGTGAAGACACCGGAGTTAAAGATAAATATTTGAGAGGAAGCACCAGATAAAGATTTTAAAGCTACAAAAGTAGACAAGATTTGAGCATACAAAGGACAAAACTCTGAGGAAGGCTGGCACATAGGGGACAAGAAGAGAGATGCAAGGAAGGAGACAGTGAATTTTCAAAGGGCAGGTGGAGAACCAGCCAAATATGTCCCAGGAGTCAAGCAAGGAAAGTGTTTCATTCTTTTCAACTATAAAACCATTGAAAATCCTTATGACCTTAGGATAAGCAAAGATCTTAAGGTAGTATATATAAATGTATTAACTATAAAAGAAAAAATGATTAATTGGATTGATGAAAATTAATTTACAGGATTAAAACCTCCTACTCTTCAAAAGCTACTGCTAAGAAAATGGAAGGAGAAGCCACAGACTAGGAGATAATATCTGTATTTAAAATATATATATATAATGAACTCAGAATTTAGTAATAAAAGATGACCCAAAAGGTTCTGAATAGACACTTCACAAAAGAAGATATATATGGATTTTTAATAAGCATATGAAAAAATACTCAACATCATTAGTCAGCAGGAAAATGCAAGTTAAAGCCACAGTGGGATACCACTTAACACTCGCTAAGATGGCTAAAATTCACAAGTATCTGAAAGGATGTAGAGCTACTAGAGCTCTCAAGTGCTGCTAAGGGTATAAAATGGTAGAACCACTTTGGAAAACAGTTTTGCAGGTTCTTATAAAGTAAAATGTGCATTTATCATGGCACAGTAATTCCACTGCTAATTACCCAAAAGAAATGAACACATGTCCACAAAAAGACTTTTACTTGATTAGTCATAATAACTTTAAGTCATAATAGTCCAAACTAGAAACAGCTCAAATGTCCATCAGCTGTATGAATATACCAGAATTTGTTTTATCTATTTGTTGAATAGCATCAGAACATTTGAATGGATAAACAAATTCTGGTATATTCATACAGTGGAATACTACTCAGCAGTGTAAAGGAATGTACAATTGATAACATACAGTAAAACAGATAAATCTCAAAACTAAGTGCTAAATGAGAGAAGACAGAGAGAAGAGTACATATGTAATTATGCTAATATGAAGATCTAGAACTGGCAAAACTTATGTATAGTATTAGAAGTCAGATCAGTGGTTGTTGGATATTGTGGGTAAGGGAAATTGAGAGAAGGCCTAGGGATAATTTTTTGCGTTGATAAAAATGTTGCGTCTTTTTTAAGGCAACGGTTACATGACTCTTGTCAAATCTCACTGGACTACACACTTAATATGTTTTTTATTGTATGTAAATTATCAAGTTGATTTCAAAGTAAAAGTGAAGCTCTCTAAAAAGCTGAAGGGAAGCTCTGTGTTTGTGGGCAGCATTTGTCAATTAGTGGGCTTCGCTGTAAGGTGATCATGTGGCTAGATGAGATTTCTATTTCTCCAGAAAAAGATTCTTTAATCCACAGTGGAGACTAGGAGCTGGAGGTAGTAAGCCTGGTTTTTGGTGACCCGGGCCTCCTTTATTTTCAGTCCTTTACCACCATCTCGTCTGATGCGCCTGATGTTGGTACTTTTCTGTTTCAGCTTTTTCCTCCCAGCATGTCAACTTTCTATCTTCAGCAGGATGAAAGAGGGATGATTTCTGAGTTTGTGGAGTCGGGGTAGGGAGACCTAATTATTCTCTTACAGACTTTCAGACAGTCCCCCTAAGTTCATTCCTCCTACCTTACTCCATTTTCTGTGGTACCTGCTACCGACAAACCTTGGCTTTCTTTGGGTTGTGCAGGGTGAATTGGTTTGCTTGTCATCAGTAAGCTAAGTCATTTGCCTTGCCTACTTCTCTTTTCTGTCTTCATCTGGAGTTACAGGTTTCTCTTAGGTTTTTGAAGATGCAGTTCGTGTTCCTGTTTCTCATTATTATTATTTGGAGGAGACCTTAAAACTGTGAAACCCATACTGCACATTTTCAACGTTACCAATACCAGACTCCTTATACCTCTCCAAACACACAAGCTTTTCCTATCTCCGTGCCTTCTGGAATTCCTTTTTGCTTACAAGGCGCAGTCCAACCTGTTTTTTCCTGATAAGGCTCTTATCTTTCAAAATCCAGTTCCTCTCCATCCGAACTTTTCTTATCTGCTGCTTCTAAACCTTTGTTTAACAGCAGATCTTCTTCATTAGGAATTGTCATATAGCAGTTTATTGTGGAGCTTTCCAGAGACACTGGAAAGTACATGTTAGAGTAATCGTAATCTGCTTAAAGTGGTGGTAATAGTAAGTGCTTGATAACTATTTGTTGAATGAACTCTAAACATGCATATGAACCACTTGCCCAGAAATTAGGAAAACAGACTCTGCCCTTTGTGGAGATGAAAGGACCAGCAGAGACCAAAAGCCTGAGGAGTGGGGCTGGCAGCATGCCACAGACCTGAGGTGGCATAAATGTACACATTTAGAACAATTATGATTTCCCAAGTAATCTGCTGTGTTAGAGGTATAAAGCAGACTATTACAGATATTTAGACTGAAAATTTTTCTCGTATTTTATCTCATCTAAGATTATAAAACACTCCTTTAATGTGCCATTAAGAAAGAAAAAAACCCTATTGGTTATGGTAGAATGTTTATCATCTAGAACTTTTTTAACTTATTGAAAGAAAGAGTTCTATGAGACTTATGTTGACAGAGTTTTTCTTTTTTTCTTTTTTTTTTTTTTTTTTTGAGATGGAGTGTCGCTCTGTGGCCCAGACTGGAGTGCAGTGGCGCAAAGCTCACTGCAGCCTTCGACTCACTGCAGCCTCTGCCTCCCGAGTTCCATTAACTCTCCTGCCTCAGCCTTCCGAGTTAGCTGGGATTCCAGGCACACACCACCATGCCCAGCTAATTTTTGTATTTTTAGTAGAGATGGGGTCTCACCATGTTGGCGAGGCTGATTGTAAACTCTTGACCTCTGGCAGTCTGCCCACCTTGGCCTCCCAAAGTGCTAGGATTATAGGCATGAGCCACCGCACCAGGCCTGACAGATATGTTTAATTATATATATCACTCTTGTGCATATATAAATACAGTGGAAGTAATTGGCTAAAATATTTCTAGAATTTCTTCCATTCAGATTCAAACTCTTTAAAATCACTTTTCAATTTAGAGCCACCTATGTTTATACTTTCTTTCTCTGCCATCCAGAGTGTTTGCTGATGACGCATTTCTTAAAAGAGTGTTCTGCTATGACCTTTGGGAATTTTCTGCCAAGTCATTCTGCATGGTTTTTTACAATGGTGTTTTCTTGACCTTACTAGAGTGTGTTCAATAAATGACAACCATGTCACAGTTCTGCCTGGCCAATAGGGATTTTAAGGTGCTACCAACTGTAAGATGTATTTCCATGTCAGTGATGTTAAAATGTCCAAAAAAAAATGTATTTTAGAATTGAAAAATACTGTAGCTCAATAATTAATGTGATTCTGGCACCAGAAACTTTCTCTTTATTCCTGTTATTTAAAGACTGCTGCTTTTTAAAAATGTATTGATAACCAAACTTTTCTTCTAAACTGCCATTTTTCTGAACATTTTTAAGGTTTTCTTTTCTACTTTGAAGTTTTCTTGTCTTCACATTTTTTTTGCTTGAAGTTAGCAGAGGCACATTTCTATCAACTTTAAAAGAAGCCTGATGAAAAAATAGACCTTCTACATCTCAAATGATTTAATGAAGTCTTCACTAACATACAGAGAGAAATATTTGTTGGTTAATGTAACAGAGTCAAAGCTTATTGCAAAAACAGATGTCATCCTAGTGGAAGATTTTTAGTAAATTGCTAAGAAACTTTTTCTCTCCTTTGCTCTTTCTTGATCAACATTATTTAATCAATAAACATATTACCTCATACTTCTCATGTGAGTGCTTACACCTACTTGAATCTCCTGCTGCTATTCTTTTTGTATTCTGGCCTTCATGGGAAGCCCTGGATCAATCCAGTCATTTGTACCATCTCTCCTTCTACATCAGTCCTGCTGAATGTTTCAGGATCTATCCTTCCTTTTGCTTGTTGCTAATCAGATACCTCCTTATTTTC